GTGATTCAGAGATAAGAGGTAAGTAGTAAGTCATGCAAAGTTCAAAGGTCAGTAGTTTGTGATGCAGAGTTCAGAGATCAGTAAGTGACACAGTTCAGAGGTCAGTAGTAAGTGATGCAGAGTTCAGGGGTCAGTAGTAAGTGATGCAGAGTTCAGGGGTCAGTAGCACGTGAGACAAAGTTCAGAGGTCAGTAGTTTGTCATGCAGAGTTCAGCAGTAAGGGATTCAGAGTTCAGGGGCCAGTAGTAAGTGGTGCAGAGTTCATGGGTAAATAGTAGGTGGTGCAAATTTCGAGTAGTAAGTGATGCAGAGGTTAGTAGTAAGAAAGAGTTCATGGGTCAGTAGTATGTCATGCAGAGTTCAGTGGTAAATAGTAGATGGTGCAGATTTCTGGGGTCAGTAGTAAGTGATGCAAAGTTCAGAGGTAAGTAGTTGATAATGCAGATATCAGGGGTCAGTAGTAAGTGATGCAGAGTTAATTGGTCTGGAGTAATTATTGCAGAGGTGAGAAGTCAGGTGTAAGTGAGGCAGAGTTCATGGGTCAGTAGTAAGTGATGCAGAGCTCAGGGGTCAGTAGTAAGTAATGCAGAGCTCAGGGGTCAGTAGTAAGTAATGCAGAGCTCAGGGGTCAGTAGTAAGCGAGACAAAGTTCAGAGGTCAGTAGTATGTCATGCAGAGTTCATAGCTCAGCAGTAAGGGATTCAGAGTTCAGGGGTCGGTAGTCGGTAAGTGATTCATCGTTCAGATGACAGTAGTAAGTGGTACAGAGATCAGGGGTGAATAGTAGATGGTGCAGATTTCCGGGGTCAGTAGTAAGTGATTCATCGTTCAGATGACAGTAGTAAGTGGTGCAGAGATCAGGGTGAATAGTAGATGGTGCAGATTTCTGGGGTCAGTAGTAAGTGATGCAAAGTTCAGAGGTAAGTAGTAGGTAATGCAGATTTCAGGGGTCATTAGTAAGTGGTGCAGATTTCAGGGGTCAGGAGTAATTATTGCAGCATTCAGAGGTCAGTAGTAGATGACACAGAGCTCATGGGTCAGGCTGTACTGTAAGGCTGGGACTACCACTGCTTTACTCTGTGATTTGGATCAGGACAAGCCAGTCTGGGCATTCAGGCAGACATGTGGTACAGTGTGACTGGGTCAGTAAATAGGCACCAGTGGGCAGAGAGAGGAAGAGCTGCAGTAACTTTCCGATATACTCATGGCTGGGCGGTGAGAGGTCTGTGAGAGGCTGAGGGAGCTGCAGGCACCGGGTAGAAACGCTGATCTGATAAAGTGACCACAAGCAGAGTGCAATAAGAGGGTCTTAGCAGCACTGCCGGTGCCATGCTGGGCACATTACATCACTGGTACTGCACAGTGTACATGGACCAGCTGCACAAATCACTCTGGCCGGGGCTGCTGTTTCAAATCGTGGGGCCCCATATAGCCTACCTGACAGGAAAATCCTGAAAATAAAAGAATAATATTTTTGCTGAAAATACACTAAAATCATTAGAAGACACAAACATGATATACCTTACACAATTGCTGCTAAATCTAATAGATATAATTGAGTTATTAAATAAAGCTCTGTCTGTGAATGATGTCTTGGGGCTCATTCACATGGGTGCTATGGCCTGTACAGTGTGAATTAACATTTATTGTGACTGGAGCTGTGTGCAGGCAGGCAATGCTATGCTACATTATGGGGATGCAGCAGCTGAACGAATACAAGTCCTAATTTAACAGGCTGTGGGTGCAGATGTACAGCCTCAAACACAAAAAGTGTGCATTCAGGAACCACTCTCCCACACCTGCACAAGTGTCAAATTAAGAGCTGCAGCTGTGTTCATACTGTATGGAGTCCCCATAGACTGACAGGCAGCTCCAGTCGCACAGTCTGCTCATTTATGCTGTATGGGCCAGAGACAACCTGTGAATGAGCCCTTCATTTTTCAAATTATTTTTTCAAAATTTTTTACAAATTATTTTCACAACACTGCTTGGGGGGCTTTGGGGAAATATCAGGGGTCTAATCAGACCCCCGATGTCTCAGGTAAGAGCAATAAAAGAAGATTGAAGACATAGATCCCCAATATCTTTATCTGCAGCCTCATCTGCACTGAATGAATGAACAGGAAGCACTCTGTAAAGAGGGTTCCCTGTTCATTCACAAACTAAAGTATAGTAAGCACAGTTTATTATTACATCAGTTATGAATGAAAAAAGTTATTGATACTAATATGACATTTTACCGGCTCCCCTGCTCTCCATCCTGGAACAATCACCTTGTACCCCGCAGTAGCTGGCAGCCAGTGGGAGGAAGTAGAGTAGAATTTGGCAGTGCTGCAAATAAAACAGGCACACGGGGGGCTCAGACAGCAGGGGATAGGGGCTCAGGGACTGGGAGAGTGATTGGTGTGCCAGGGGGGAAAAAAATTACTGGAACTGATCCCCCTGAGGCTCCCCCTGCAACAGCTGAAAGATGACTTCTTCTCTTCTCATTTCTGTGGGTTTCAGCTGCTACAGGGCAATCACGGAGGATGGGTTCCAGTAATTTTTCCACACACACCATCATGGCAGCACTGGTCACTTGGATGGGATGCTGTGGTAAGGTTGAACCCCCCTCCCCTTATTTACGCCCATGCAGTTAAAATCTGTCTAATGTCTAATGTGACTTCAAGTTGGGCCCCCTGGGCTGCAAATAAAAATATGCAGCATGTGAAGTGTGCTGTGGCAAAATGGGTGCGTTTCTAATTGCTCTGAATATTAGGCATGGCTTAAAGAAACTTAATTACAGAGTTGGAGTTGACTTAGTAAAAAGTGAGAAAGTGTTGAATAGTGAATGTACAGCACCCATTAGACATTGGGGCACCTGTTCAGAATCATTACTGACCTCTGAACTCTGTGTCACTTACTACTGACCCCTGTGTCATTACTGACCTCTGAATTCTGCACCACTTATTGCTGACCTCTGAACTCTGCCTCGCTTACTACTGAACCATTGTCTCACTACTGCCCCCTGAACTCTGCTTCATTTACTACTGCCCCCTGAACTCTGCTTCACTTATTACTGTCCCCTGATCTCTGCTTCACTTATTACTGATCCCTGAGCTATGCTTCACTTACTACTGCCCCCTGAACTCTGCACCACTTACTACTGACCCCTGAACTCTGTACCACTTACTATTGACCCCTGAACTTTGCACCACTTATTACTGACCCTTGAACTCTGCACCACCACTTACTACTGACCCCTGAACTCTGCACCACTTACTATTGACCCCTGAACTCTGCACCACTTACTACTGCCCCCTGAACTCTGCTTTGCTTACTACTGACCCCTGAACTCTGCACAACTTACTACTGACCCCTGAACTCTGCACCACTTACTACTGACCGCTGAACTCTGCACCACTTACTACTGCCCCCTGAACTCTGCTTCACTTACTACTGCCCCCTGAACTCTGCTTCGCTTACTACTGACCCCTGAACTCTGCACCACTTATTACTGACCCCTGAACTCTGCACCACTTACTACTGACCCCTGAACTCTGCACAACTTACTACTGACCCCTGAACTCTGCACCACTTACTACTGACCGCTGAACTCTGCACCACTTACTACTGACCCCTGAACTCTGCACCACTTACTACTGACCCCTGAACTCTCCACCACTTACTACTCACCCCTGAACTCTGCACCACTTACTACTGACCCCTGAACTCTGCTTCACTTACTACTGACAGCTGAACCATTACTGAACTCTGAATTTTGCGTCACTTACTACTGACCTCTGAACTCAGAGTCACTTTCTACTGACCCCTAAACTCTACATCACTTATTGCTGACCCCTAAAACATTACCGACCTCTGAATTTTGCATCATTTACTACTGCCCCCTGAACTCTGCTTCACTTTTTACTGCCCCCTGAATTCTGCTTCACTTATTACTGACCCCTGAACTCTGCACCACCTACTACTTACCCCCGAATCATTACTGACCTCTGAAATCTGCATCATTTACTACTGACGCCTTAACTCCGCATCATTTACTGCTGACCCCTGAACCCTGAATCAGGAGACGGGAGAGAAGAGCTGAAGCTGCAGTACCCTGAAAACTGTAAAAAGTCCAAGAGAAGGAGACCAGAGGTAAGCCAATACCCTTTCTGTGTCTCCGCTGCAGCAGATATACTGTTTGTTTATGCCGGAGAATGGGCAGGTGCTAAAGGCTGGCTGGAAGAGTAGGGGGGCAGATTTTCGCAGGTATATAAGCTGCCTGCACATCAAGTGATTAGAACAAATTCACGGCTGCAGTGGAGGTGCCTGGGAACTTTCATTCCCCGATTTCCATTGCAACTGATGAACCCAAAAGCAACCAGCATTTCATAACTTCTGGGTTCGGAGACATCATTCCAAGGCTGTTGTGACTAGGGAAATAGCTAATCAAGAATGATCTGAGCTTTATTAGCTATGGTGGTGGATGAGGTGACAGCAGGGGTCTAATAGAACCCTATGTCTCAATAAAGAGAACCAGTCACCTGCCCATTCTATCACATATGGATTTGTTAGCCCTCTTTCGATAGCAATAAAGTTAAATTAAAAAAGGGTAATAAATAAAAATAATTTGGAAAAATTTAAAAGCAGCCCTGTAGCACTGTACTTGCACAAATGCAAATGAATGCTTACGGCATGCATATGTATGTAAACAGAAATAATGCAATAATGCTAGGGTAATCATTATTGGTTAACTCTAAAAATTATATAGGTAGGCTTTTAAGGAGTTACATATGGACAATTTTGGGTAGCATACTTTTTCGCTATTTCACAAATGCACACAATTTTAAGGCTTGACATGTTTGGTAACTAAATTAGGTATTATATTGTGTTTGTGTGCATTAAAATTAATTGTAGTTTATTCTTTCCTGGAAATATGCGTTTGATAAATAGTTGTGCAAATATAATTTTTTTTTGTCTGGGTTGAAATATTATTAAATATATTTATTTATTTATTTATTCATTTATTAAATATAAACTGCTAAATACCTTTTCTCATCTGCAGTTAGAGCAGTCTTGTGACTTCTGTCAGTGTCCATCAGAGCACTGGTTAAAGCTTGTAGGAGGAGTTTTCTTTAGGAAAATGCAGAACCCCTGACCTTTGTCTGGACAGTGATGGATGGCCCTGTGCTGATCACATGCACTCTCCCAAGAAAAAAAAGAACTTTCTAGCAATACACACCAAATTGAGCATGTGCAGAGTGTCTCAACACTATGTCTTATCAGGAGATAAGAGGGAGACAGTGGAATAAGGAGAGAATCAGAGAAGTCTGCATCAAGCATCCTTTTTACACAATGCAGAGGATTAACCCCTTAGGTTCCACACTGAGTATAACAAGCATGCTTTACTGCATATTTTACAGTTGTGGGTTTAGTAACACTTTAGGTCTTCAGATTCTGGCCTGTATGTTTGGTCTAGTGATGGAGCTGAGACTGGCTCACTAGACCAGCAACTGGTACACCCGGGATTGGGGCAGAGAAGTGGATTTTCAGAGCAGTGGATTTTCAGAGCAGTGCTCTTCATGGAATTCTTGATATTTTTAGAATTGAAACAAGCATGCAGCAAGTGAAGTTAGAATTCTTTAAAAGCGTACTAATTCCCAATTAGCAAAGTGAAGCCAATGGTTCAACAAGACAGCCAGGTGACTAACATTTTCAGAAGTCAGATATGTAAGATTTGAGTAAGTACAGTTTTCTCCATTGATTTGTAAGATTTGAGTAGGTACAGCCTATCTCCACGCAAAATTACAACCTCCTCTTCTATTTCACTTCCCCACCACCAAATAAAAAAAATATTTGTTTGTAAAAAACCATTCATACGCCCTTTTGTACTTGAATCTGCTATCAGGTGACCCTACACAGTGCCTCTATGAAGAGTAAAGACAATTTACCTACCACTGCAGACCAGGTGCACTGCCGACCACTCTTGTCTCGGCCTCTTCTTATGACATCATCATAATGCTGCTGGAGTCTTTAAGGCTTTGTAAGGACCTCACTAATGGATCCAAGGGAGGTGTCCCTGTCTCCAGTCAATGGCACCCAAAAAAGGATCTTTTCACTCTTCAACCCAGTGAAAAAAAAAATTCAGGACCTGGCATACCACAGACAATGGATTTAGATATTTCAGCTATTTGGGTTTTTTAGGTGATTAATTAGAGGGAGGGGGTCAGTATTGTTTGTGGGGGAAGGGTTCCCTGGCCTGATTTCCAATTTAAGCAACAGTCTTTCCTTGAGTCTTCCAAAGTATAGTCCGTCCACATAAACACGTGAAAATCTGCAGTCTTCTGTCAGTTGTTATGGTAGTGAAAACTAGGCTAAAAGAATCCCGGACAAGCCCCCACTTGTAGCGCTGATGTCTAAGAAGACGGCTGGAAATAATTGAGTTCCCCTACCAGTCCTGTGGCCATATGGCTTGCACCGAACAGTACACTGACAATTCCTCAGACAAAAGTCAGGCTCCCCTCTATAGGGTCTTGTTACCCTTTATTGCAGGACTACAGGAGCTAGGGTTTAGGTTTGCAGGATACCCAATCGCACAAAATAGTAGCTCAGATTACTCAATCAGCAATAGCGCTGCGTAAATTGACGGCACTATAGAAGTACCTGAAATAAATAATAAAATAAATATACCTTATGAGAATGACCCCTAAAAATAAATATTGTTAGACAATGGATAGACTGATAAATCCTGTGACTCTTTGTGAGCAGTACACAGTGTTTCCTTGTATCAAGATCTAATTTCTGTCCATTTGTATGCAGAAAAAAAATACCCGAGTCCCTTGACAACGCTACCTTTTTCAAGGTCCAGTTGGCAGCTTTCCTCCCAGCTACTCTGCAACCCTCTGCAAGCAAGAGTATCTGTGTTCAGCCCAGATCCTTTCACACATCTGCTCAAGCTCTAACTTTGTTTCCAAGGCCATCAGCACATGCTGAGGCTAAGGTCAAACAGCAGTCTTCACACATTGCACCCTCCCAGGGGAAAAGCCCCAGGGGAAAGAGAGTTCCAGAAAGGTGCTCCCAGATATTTATCATCTCCATAAGACAAACCTCCAAATTTGCTGCCCAGGGATTAACTTGGTCAGATTAAAATTCATGACCTCCTTCGATTCTTTCGGGGTTGTGGCCATCGTGGTGATGTATTGCATATCTGGTGGTCTTGCCCGAGACTGATTAGTTTTTGGTCTCGAGTGTTTGGCCTCCTTTTCACCTTGTTCCATCTCTCCATACGCTGTGATGGTCGGTACGCTTTGCTTCATTGTCCCATATTGGGCCTCTTGGCTCACCAGTGAAAGTTGGTTTCCTATTTGTTTTTGTCGGCCACTAGAACAATTGCTCAGGCATGGAAGCACCTGTTTGTCTTTCTTCAGGGGATGTGGGACCGTATGACCACTATGATGCTTAATGAACAGATGTCGAGTATTTGTAACAACTTCCAATATAAATGTTTGAAAATATGGGAGCCGTGGTTGCAATATGCCCCCTGGCTAGTCTGGGGTTGTGATGTTGCTCGATATTGGCGTTCCCGGACCCCTGCTCATGGCCTTGTCATCTTTTTCCTTTTGTACTCTTCCTTCCTTTTCTATTTCTGTTTGTTTTTGGTGTGGCGGTGGATAGCTGCCTTTGGTTTGAGTTATTGTCCATGTTATACCAATGTTTTTGTCATTTATGTGCCATTGATAGCCACCTTTTGCTCTGTTGGTGTTAGAGCGCTGTTTTATTTTTTTTATGTGCAGTTGATGGCCTCTGCGTGGGCGTGTCTTGTTGTTCCGTTTTTTTTTAAATGTTTATAAACTAATAAAAATCATTGAAATACAAAAATTCATGACCTCCTGGTTTATCCTACCCATGCTGACTACTAGAACCTTGTTCAAGCAAAAGGCTGAAGCAATCAACTCACCGGACTTAGGGAAAATCTACAGATCCCAGAAAAAGTGAACATTAGCTCAGGCTGGTTACAGCATGGCAGTAACACAAAATCCATTAGAGACACAGCTGCAAAAAGTAGAATTGTTAAATGCTGTATTACATATTTACAAAAAATGAAATAATCATAATTGGCATCTTACCAAATGCATGGCGTAAATCTAAATTCACAGGTGGTTATTTCAGTAGTTCCTCCAAACACATGAATTCCATGTCTCCCAGCTGCCCCAGGGCCAAGCACCATATACACATCCCATTCTCCCTGCTCAGTGCGATAATAGAGGCGAGGAATCTCAGATTGCGGCACACTTTTATTGACAGAATCAAAAATAAGACAAAGGCACACATGGAGAATCAGCCATCAGCCTGCTATTGATTTACAAAACTGCAAAATACATCTTCAGACAAAAAGCATCCCAGATGTCAGACTGATGCACCATAATGTGACAGCCTTCAGAAAAATGCATGAGAGAGTTGTATTACATATAACCAGGTCAAATTGCTGTGCAGACACTTCTCTCCCCTTCATTTCACAAATACTAACTTACATAATAATATGTAATAGCTGGGAATTTTGATGATCACAGAAGCTGCAGGGCTTGGAGAGGTGCTGAGTACTAAGTGGAGAAAACAGCGAAATGTGTCCTTGCTCCGTTCTGTTATCTGGAATCACATACATTACCTAAAATGCCATTTCTAGCCACATGTATCTGGGGCAGCTATTATATTCAGCAGTGCAAAGGGGGACAAATCCGTACTTCAATAAATGCACTGCACGCTGGAGGTACTGCAAGCATGAGGCAAAGAATCCACATTTAGTTCAGTTATGCATTCATTCAAAAAATAATAATTGCATGTACACAGGGGCGGACTAACAACTCATGGGGCCCCCGGGCAATAGGGGATCATGGGGCCCCTGTGTCCTCGCCCACACTCAAACCACACCCAAAAAAGCCTACTGTATGAAAGGTACCAGGGGCAACTCATGGGGCCCCCTACTAACCCCCTACTAACCCTGGGCCCTCGGGCAGTGCCGAGTTCCCGAATGCTCAGTCCGCCCCTGCATGTACAGTATATTTAAGTAGTACCTTGCTCCAGTGGTGTATTTAGGTTTTGTGCTGCCCTGGACAACACAAAAATCGGATGCCCACCTCCCCCCCCCCCCACGGTGAGAGCCTGACATTGACCAACAACACCCCTGCCCCCCACCTGAGGGAGCCTTCCACTAACACACATTCCCTCCCCCCCACTCTCTCGGATCCTACCTCTGGTCCCCATGCCGTATGTGTCCCTTCTTAAGTCCTATCATCTGGGGGGCAGTGCTGCCCCCCCTGAAAAATGCCACCCTAGGCAAATGCCTTGTGGTAAGTATGCCCCTGCCTTGCTCTGTAGTATTAACCTCCTGTACAGCATGTCCCAAGCCCAGGCAGGGCGGAGAGCATAGAACTGTCAGCCTAAAGATGGCCATAGAAGTTCATCAGAACGTTTATACATATATTCTGAAAAATCATTCCTCGGAGCAATGGATCTTTCTATCAGCGAGACAACAAATTTAGTTTGAAAGCCTTTAAAATTGTGTCTAGACCTGCTATTTGAACGAAATCCCAGACAGCTTTCTTTTGTGCATACAACATGAGCATTACAATTACAGATTCAAATTTCATTTGTTCGAGAAAAAATGCCCATCCTGCTCCTTTGAATTGTTTTGTCACTTCGGTCAAAAACGAACCTCCAGTTGATCTCATTAACCATTAGAAAATGGAAAATTCCAAAAATGAAAAATTGTGAACAAAATTCTACTGGTGAAGAGCCAGCTTTAAACAGAAAGTATATTGATAGGATAAGTGAACACAACTCATCTGTGTCTTGCAGTTCCTTCACTGTCCAATCACAGGCTGGGGCAGCTAATGAAATGAAATGGGTGATCTCTATACATTGCAAGGATTTTAACAACCTTTGTTACGGATTTATAACCTTTTGTTATTAATAAAGCGGAGTTCCACCCAAAAGGGGAAGTTCCACTTTAAAGATTGGTCCCCCGCTCCCCATTAAGGATTGGCACCTTTGGGGAGCGGGGGGGGGGGGGACAGGTACCCACTCCCACTTCTGCTGCGATCCCCTAGGCAATTGGAAACAAATGTTGACCTCCTACACTGAAGATGCCAGCGCCTGGAATACAGGACAGCTGGTGAAACGGGCTGCGGCGGGGGCAATGCAGGATCGTGGGATAGGTAAGTGGCTGTTTTTTAAAAGTCAGCAGCTACAGTTTTTGTAGCTGCTGACTTTTATTTTTTTACAGAGTGAGTGGAACTCCACTTTAAGAAACAGCTGTTTGTTTGTCTGTGTCCAATCTCAGAGTGAATCTGTATGGGAGTGGTATTATAATTATCAGTCAGCTGCTGCACCTGCAGGGATGGGAGTATCTCACCAAAAATTATATTTTTGTTGCAGG